CTTTCTTTCTTTCTTTCTTTCTTCCCAGCTGTATCTCATCACTCCTTCCTCTATGACATTCCTCAGATATGCCCTATCCCTTTTACTTCTACCACTAAAAAATTGTTCCATGGCTTGGTGCTTTCTCATCTGGACTACTGTAACCTACTCTCTGGCCTTCCTAATTCTCTTCATTCTATCTATTCAATATGAGGCAGACAAAATAATCTATTTTCCTTGCTGCTACAGCCAAATCACTCTTCTCCCATTTGAATCACTTCACTTGCTCCCTGTATTTTTCAACATCAAGTTTCAACTGCCCTACACAGTTGAGGATTCATGCATTTAGAAGAGGCCACCCCAAGGAAGTGAAACTGGGGGACCGATCTTCCCCTAGCAAACAAGTACTATTTCCATTGTGAATTCTATTGGAGATAATGTTGTTCCTTTTCAGCATTAACTACTGCTCTGTGCCTTCTACCCCTCCCCGGAGAGGAGGTTAGTGGCAACATGGCTTCAAATTGAATTCTGATGGCAGTGGGGAAGGTGGCCAAGTAGTCATGTATGAGGGCTGGCCCTTTGCATGTATGACTTATAGTCCGGGAGCCAAATGCAAGGTTTTAGCAGTACTTTGTTTTAGCGTCCATACATTTGTTTGTGGATTCTGATTTTCAAAACCCTAAATTCAAAGACCTTGTCACTGTTGATCATTTTGAAATATGAGCACTTATTACCACCTCCCATTCTGATCCACAAAACCAGGTTACAATGAAAACTACTTTAATTGAATTTCAAAAAATGTTTTTATTAAAACTTCACACTAATATTTTATTATGGAACATGATTACCTAGGAGGTACATGTTATTTCTGTCTTAGTGTCTATATTAGCAGTATAACTGCTATTATGCCCCCTCCACTACCGAAGCAAGACACAAGACATTTCTCCTGGCACAACCACAGCATGCAGAAAACCACCAAACAGATCAAGAAGACTGACATGGCAGAGCCAATCAAATACGATTTACACATGGAGCATTACAGTGGTCTAAAGAAAGCCAGACATGCCCATGGAGGCAGCATGAAAATTAGTGTCACCCTTAAAGGGGCTTAATCATATAATTAGCACAGTGGTTTTCTCAAGATATACTTGCTCCTGAAGGTTGCCCAAAGTTCAATGGATATAATACATAGCTTTGCTGAGACCAAGGACGTGCTCTCATGCCAAAAACCAAAGCTGTATACATGCTTCTTATTGACATGACAGCACCTGAGCCAGACACAATGACGACAGCCTTTTTGGCTGGTTAATTTTAGCTAAGCTAATTTTTTCTTTACCTTTTTAATGTGTCTGATGGTAAAAAGATATGATAGGCAGAATAAATGAAGACATGAAAATCGATGAGAGCACAATTATTTTAGAAAATAAAAGGAAGCAACAAGAACAGAAGCCTAAGTTATAGGGAGAAGAAAGTAGTATTCTAACCAGAGAAGTTAGGGAGAGAAAAAAATTGTTAGGGCATCCAGTTCATGATTATCTATCTGCCAGCACAGTACTGTCCCCTACAGTATGTATTATGATTTTGTTCAGCCTAGTTTTAAATGTCCCAAGCAATGGGCTTCCTCTACTTCTCCAAAGAGATATTTCCATAGCCTAATTCATTTGCCAAAGGTGTGTCTGTGTTTGTTTGTTTGTTTGTTTTTTTGAGCAATGTTGGTCCCAAGATATGAGAAAGACAAGGTGGGTCAGACAGCATCTTTTATCGAACCATTTTCTGTTGGTGAAAGAAACAAGCTTTCCAGTTCCACAGACCTATTCTTCAAGTCTACATTTTTATTTTTTCTTGAGATTTAAAATAAACCTTCCATTTCTTAATATCTTATAACTTTTAGTTATGTCCCCTTGAATCACTCTAAATGATCCCTTTCCATTCTTGGCATTCACAACTTTCAAAAATTTGCAGCCATACGTTCTCCTGTGAGTAGCTCCCTTTTCCAACCTGTTACAGACCAACATCCACAAAGTGGTGAATCAAAACTCATCCTTTCTTCATGTTTGACTTTATTAAACAAGAAATCAACAATAAGATAATGAAGTACAGCTCAAATCTGTTCCCTAGGCTTTGCTGCTCCTAGGGTTCCTACCTCAGGGCTGAGCAGCCCACACCCTAGGTCTTTTCTCTCTCTATGGCTATGTCTACACTACACACTCCTTTCAGTACATAGAATATATACACTGCATGAACCCCAGCACAGGTATAAATAACAATGTAGACGATGAGGCATAGCTTAGGTGAATAAAGACTTGCCATAACCCTGTGGGTATGTACCCTACATGGATCTCTAGAAGTCCAAGCACAGCTTACCCCATCTACACTGCTATTTTCAGTGACAGCGTCCCACTGCCTCCCTCCTGACAGAGCCTTTCATTGATTCGTATAGCTACATGCTGCAGTGTGAACAAAGTCTGCTTTACACTGCGGCATGTCGCTACATGTATCCTACATGACAACACCAGTGGTGGGTAGCGCAGATGTACCTTAAGAGTCATTCCCATGTCCCTCATAGCTGGATGGAGTAATCAGCCACCTGCAGTAGTGAGTCAGAAAAGCATACTTCATATTTTTAGTGGGAGCATAACAGGCCAACAGATGGGGTTTTCAGACACCTACTGTCAGCCTGTTACAGTCCCTTTAACTGTAATGATGATTCCCATTGAGTTCCTTTAGGGCCTGATCCAATTCCCACTGAACTCAATGGGGGTCTTTCTGTTGATTTCAATGGAACTTGGAGAAGGCCTTAAATCATTTCTCACAAGTCAGTTCCTCCTGTTCCTGATCATTTTTATTGGTCTTCTCTGAACTCCCTCCAGTTTGTCAATATCTTTCTAGTGCCCAGAATGTGATGTCTATTACAGATGAGATGAGGTAACAATTATATGCAGTGAAATTTTGTATTGGTCTTAAACGGCTAAATACATAAATACTGCATGATAAAATGTAACAGTTCCTTTCACATATGCTTTAATACAATGCAGAACTACATCACCTGTAGTTATTATCATTCATTTATATTCCAGAAAATAGAAGTCAGACAAAATAGCCTAGTTACTTTGAAATGTTCTATTAACACAGCAGCATTATTCTTGTAATATTCCACTCATCCAAGAATATATTCTCATCTCAAAGCCCAAGGATTTACATGACCAACTCCCACACAATGAGATGAAAATACAACAAAACCCATCTTAAATGCCCATGCAAGGAGACCAGTCAAAACAGGCTGTTTAGCAGAGGGTCCTTTATTCTTCATAATTTTTTTAAATAATGCTGAAAACTTTGGGGCTACTTTAAGATGGAAGCTTCAAATTGGAATTTATTACTGATACCATATACCTGATTTTTGTTAGTGGAAGGCCCGTGCCATTTTGAAATTGTAACCAGTCAGATCCTCAGTAAATGTCAATCAGCATAGCTTCATTGTGTTATGTCAATTTACACCAATTGATTTACACCATTACAGATCCAGTCCAGCATATCAAGTGCATCAAGAAAAAAGAACAACTCTTAAAAGCCCTCCTTGGAAATTATGGTAATTGAACATCCTTACCTGTGCTTATGGTGCAGTACATGATAGGGTTATGGAGATGCTTCTTACCTGATGCTGATGCACCAAGAGGAGCTAGTTGTATCCTTTGTCCAGCTGATCCAACTTCTTTTTTATGAAAGGAAGGGATATATCCTCCAGATGGGTTGTAAGCAGCACCTACAAAGCCAAGATTTTCATAGAATCATAGAACTGGAAGGGACCTTGAGAGGTCATCTAGTCCAGCCCCCACTCGTGGCAGGACTAATTATCTAGACCATTCCTGACAGGTGTTTGTCTAACCTGCTCTTAAAAGTCTCCGATGATGGAGATTCCCTAGGCAATTTATTCCAATGCTTAACCACCCTGACAGTTAGGAAGTTTTTTTTTTAATGTCCAACCTAAACCTTCCTTGCTGCAATTTAAGCCCATTGCTTCTTGTCCTATCCTCAGAGGTTAAGAAAAACAATCTTTCTTCCTCCTCCTTGTAACAACCTTTTACATACTTGAAAACTGTTATCATGTCCCCTCTCAGTCTTCTCTTTTCCAGACTAAACAAACCCAATTTTTTCAATCTTCCCTCATAGGTCATGTTTTCTAGACCTTTAGTCATTTTTGTTGCTCTTCTCTGGACTCTCTCCAATTTGTCTACATCCTTACTGAAATGTGGTGCCCAGAACTGGACACAATACTCCAGTTGAGGCCTAATCAGAGTGGAAGAATTACTTCTCGTGTCTTGCTTATAACACTCCTGCTACATCCCAGAATGATGTTTGCTTTTTTTGCAACAGCGTTACACTGTTGACTCATATTTAGCTTGTGGTCCACTATGACTCCCAGATCCCTTTCCACAGTACTCCTTCCTAGGCAGTCATTTCCCATTTTGTATGTGTGCAACTGATTGTTCCTTCCTAAATGGAGTACTTTGCATTTGTCCTTATTGAATTTCATCCTATTTACTTCAGACCATTTCTCCAGTTTGCCCAGATCATTTTGAATTTTAATCCTATCCTGCAAAGCACTTGTAACCTCTCCCAGCTTGGTATCTTCCACAAACTTTATAAGTGTACTCTCTATGCCATTATCGTAATCATTGATGAAGATATTGAACAGAACTGGACCCAGAACTGATCGCTGTGGGACCCCACTTGTTATGCCCTTCCAGCATGATTGTGAACCACTGATAACTACGCTCTGGGAATGGTTTTCCAAACAGTTTTGCACCCACCTTATAGTAGCTCCATCTAGGTTGCATTTCCCTAGTTTATTTATGAGAAGGTCATTGGAGACAGTATCAAAAGCTTTAATAAAGTCAAGATATACCACGTCTACCACTTCCCCCCTATCCACAAGGCTTGTTACCCTGTCAAAGAAAGCTATCAGGTTGGTTTGAAACTTTGTTTTTGACAAATCCATGCTAACTGTTACTTATCACTTTATTTTCTTCTAGATGTTTGCAAATTGATTGGTTAATTATTTGCTCCATTATCTTTCTGGGTACAGAAGTTAAGATGACTGGTCTGTAATTCCCTGGGTTGTCCTTTATAGATGGGCATTATATTTGCCCTTTTCCAGTCTTCTGGAATCTCTCCCATCTTCCATGACTTCAAGGATAATCGTTAATGGCTCAGATATCTCCTCAGTCAGCTCCTTGAGTATTCTAGGATGCATTTCATCAGGCCCTGGTAACTTGAAGATATCTAATTTGTCTAAGTAATTTTTAACTTGTTCTTTCCCTATTTTAGCCTCTTCTGATCCTACCTCATTTTAACTGGCATTCACTACGTTAGAGGTCCAATCACCACCAACCTTCTTGGTGAAAACCGAAACAAAGTAGTCATTAAGCACCTTTGCTATTTCCACATTTTCTGTTATTTTTCCCCCCTCAGTGAGTAGCGGCCCTTGGTCTTCCTCTTGCTTCTAATGTATTTGTAGAATGTTTTATTGTTACCCTTTATGTCTCTAGCTAGTTTCCCTTATTTTGTGCCTTGGCCTTTCTAATTTTGTCCCTACATACTTGTGTTATTAGTTTATATTCATCCTTTGTAATTTGACCTAGTTTCCACTTTTTGTAAGACTCTTTTGATTTTTAGATCATTGAAGATCTCCTGGTTAAGCCAGGGTGGTCTCTTTCCATACTTTCTATCCTTCCTATGGAGTGGGATACTTTCCTCGTGTCCTTAATAATGTCTCTTTGAAAAACTGCCAACTGTCTTCTATTTTTCCCCTTAGACTTGCTTCCCATGGGCTCTTACCTACCAGCTGCCTGAGTTTGCTAAAGTCTGCCTTCTTGAAATCCATTGTCCTTATTTTGCTGTTCTCCCTCCTACCATTCTTTAGAATCATGAAATCTATCATTCACGATCACTGTCACCCGAGCTGCCTTCCACTTTCAAATTCTCAACCAGCTCCTCCCTATTTGCCAAAATCAAATCTAGAACAGCCTCGCCCCTGGTAGCTGTCTCCACCTTCTGAAATAAAAAACTGTCTCCAATACATTCCAAGAACTTGTTGGATAATCTGTGCCCTGCTGTGTTATTTTCCCAACAGATGTCTGGGTAGTTGAAGTCCCCCATCACCATCAAGTCCTGTGCTTTGGATGATTTTGTTAGCGGTTTAAAAAAAGCCTCATCCACCTCTTCTTCCTGGTTAGGTGGTCTGTACAGCGATGTACAAAGTTTTAAACTTTTGAGTTAGATTCAGGCAGCCAACAGATCTTTACTTGCTCTTCATGGTCACTTTAAAACTTATTCATGGTACAACAACCCTGAAAAGTATCATTTATATAAGGCCTGGTCTACACTAACACCCCAATTCGATCTAAGGTACGCAACTTCAGCTACGTGAATAACGTAGCTGAAGTCGACATACCTTAGTTCGAATTTACCGCGGTTCAGACGCGGTCCACACACGGCAGGCAGGCTCCCCCGTCGACTCCGCGGTACTCCTCTCGCTGACGTGGAGTACCGCAGTCGACGGCGAGCACTTCCTGGTTCGAATTATCGCGTCCACACCAGACGCGATAAATCGAACCCGGAAGTTCGATTGCCAGCCGTCGAACTACCGCGGTAGTGTAGACAAGCCCTAAGAAACTGATGTCTGTTTAGAAAATGTATGTGTGCATCTTTACTTAGAGTCCACCTAGGATGCAAAGGTCTGATCTACATTACAAATTTAGATTGACCGAAGTCTACTTGTTTCGATCTAGTTCTGCATATGTCTGCACCTAAATCTCTCCCCCACTGATCTAACCACCGCATTAGTGACACAATAACACCACCTCACTGTAAGATGCAAAAGCATAGTCCACCTTCCATCGACACAGTGCGAGAGTAGACATTAAATCACATGTGTGACCCTAACAGTTCTCCTGCAGCTGTCCCACAATGCCCCTGAGCCAGTGGTCACCCTGGTCACAGTTTGGAACTCCACTACCCAAGAGACAGAGACCGGAACCCACCCTCTCTATTTAAAATCTTCAGCATGTTTTTGAAATACCTTTTCCTGATTGCCCATCTTGATGAGCACACCTACAAGCCCACTTCTGTGAGCATGCAATCATGCCCACACATACAGAGCTACTAGACACATTCCTGCCTGAAGCAGGAAAGAAGTCATGGATCTCCTTGGCCTGGGAGGAAGAGAGACTCTGTGCAAGGACAGCAAAAGAGCAGCCAGAGAAACAGACATCTATGAGCAGATTACACTGGCTAGTCTCAGCTCTATTGTGCCCCCTCCACACCTCCATGTACAGGAGTCAGCAAAAGTGGTACTCTTTCTGCTAACCTCTTCAGATCTCCATTCAGGGTAGGGCTGAGAGCAGCTGAAACAATACATAGCTTCCCTACCTCCCCAACCCATCCCACACCAAAACGCAGATCAATAAAGAATGACACAAAAGTCCAGATGAAAGATAAACCTTTAATAAAACATGTCCCTGTGTCATTGCCCAGGGTACAATCTGGACTGTTGGATAGCACGTCCCCTCAGTTCTCCAGCCTGGGGTGCATTTTACACTGCTTCACTCTGAGAGCAACCACTCCTGGCCTGCTCACACACAGCCTCCAGCATGTAAGTTACCCCCAGCTATACTGCAAGAGTGCTTCAGCCAGCCAGCCTGCCATTCTTTAATTATACTGTAGAGCAGCAGTCCCCAAACTTTTGAGGGTCATGCCACCCCTTATCCCTGTCCACGCACCCCTGCCCCTTGGGGCTGGGAGTGGGGCGGCAGCTCGGGGGAGGGGGTGGGAAATGCAGACAAGGATAAGGGCGCTGAGGCTGGGGCAGCAGCTGGGATCGGGTCTGGGGCTGGGAGCAGGGCTGCGGCCAGGGGCCAAGGCTGGGGGCAGGAATGCAGCCATAGTTGGGCTGTGGTGGGGGCTGGCAACTGGGCCCGCAGCCAGGTGCAGCTCCGCTCCCAGCCTTGTCCACAGCCTCAGCCACGGGTCGGGAATGGAGCCGTGGCCAGTGGTCGAAGCTGGGGCGGGGCTGGGAGTAGAGCCGCACGAAGGCTGGAGATGGGGCTGGGGATATGGCTGGAGGCAGGACCGGAGCAGAGCTGGGGGTGGGAAGGGGCTGGGTGACGCTCCCTCCCCGCCCCCCCGGGGGTTGACCCAGGCCCCACTGCGCCCCCCCGGACATTCCTTCACACACCCCTGGGGGGGTGCCCCACAGTTTGGGGACCTCTGCTGTAGATCAACACCAACGAAGTCCCAGACTTCCTCCAGATATCTGCGTCTTGTACTGCCCAATACCCTCCTGGACAATACAAGCTCATGTAAAGTCCGTCATTCCATTAATAGACTCTGTCATGGCATCAGCACGTGTAAGGGTGTACCAGGATGTGACCTCTGCCCCTCACAGTGCATGCATGGTTCCTCATTCAGGGCATAGCCATTGAGCCATCTGAAGCAAGTAATGGGATAATCCAAAAATATGAACAGCTGATATTATATTCCTTAGGTATTATGCATCAGTTCTGCCAGGAAACAGTCCACAGGCTCTGTAATGCTTGCAGTGCATACGGTGTGAGGCATTCTGTTTCACATCTATATTCTCCACACCATTACACTAGTGTAATTTCACTGCAGTAAAATGCAATTACATCAATGTAAAATCAGGGTAACCAAGTGGAGTTGCTCTGCACAGTTGCAGCTAGCATCTACTTAGCAAGCTGCAAAGGTATAAAAGCACTTAATGTAGATGCATGTGCTTCTCCCCTAAAAAACTTCATACCCATTTTCGAGCAATAGTGCAGATACACAGGTGGCTAAATAGAGCAAGTGCTAATGTAGACAGGATTCGCTGCATCATGAAAATGTGCACGTGAAGCAGCCCTAGTAGAGACAAAAGTCCTATGAATGCTGGCACTGTGAGCACTGTGTCATGGAAACTTGCTCTGAGCTTGACAATAACAAGACTCTCTTGTATACACTGGTGTTAGCAACTTTGGAACATTTTGGCCAAGTAATTTTAGTGTGCACACAGCCTTTTATATATCAGAATTTATCTGTCGTACAGAAAAATACTTATAAATTTCCCCCCATTATTTTCTCTTCTCCTTCTACTAGGAACTCTCTGTCTTAGTGGAAGAACATAGCAGATCAGTACTCTCCCCCATCAAATTGTTAAAAACACCAACCAACATTTTAAATGAATAATTTTAAATTCATAAGACATACTCCAAAGCAGTGAGCTATGTAAGGGTGTGCCTTAGTACAGCACCAGTGCTGTGGTGCTTAAAGCACTTGGCTTAATGCAGAACACCAAAAGTCTATTACTGCAGAAGCTGTTGTGGTTTATTATTATGGTGGTGGAACATGCTCTGGCTTCAGAACAGGGCTAGCACCAGGGCACAAAGATTCCAACAAGACAGACAGACTTAAATATTATTTAATGAATTTAATAACTATATGGCTAATTTCTGTCCTCAGATTTCCGAGGCTGCACTAGTGTAATTGAGGACAGCCTACAGGTTAGTTTTCAAGTTGGCCTAAGTCCTAGGGAAATGACTGCCCTCCCCTCCCACTGTCACAGGACCGCCTCCTCTAAGGACTTGATCCTGAACCCACTGAAGTAAACAGTAGAGCTCCCATTAACTTTAATGGGGCAGGATCAATAACTAAGCATGTTTACTAGAGCTTGACAGATAGACAAAAGATGTGGCCCAGTATTTCAGTATGAAACACTAAAAGGATTCTTTAAATATGTTCATATATTTTGAGTTCAGCTGCTTGACACAAACAACTATGGGCGAAGTTCACAATGGGGAAAGTCCTTCACCCTGCTCCATGCGCAAGTAAACAATCACAGACTAACTAACCCCAGCTGTGTCCTCAATCCCCTCTGCCATTATAAGAGTTGTGGAGCATAGCTCAGTGGCAAGCAGATCCCCTTCATTCCCTCCTCTCACCGTATCCCTCTCCCCTGCACTGCAAAACCAAAATGATCCCTCTACAACTGGGATCCCTCCCTTTTACAGGGTGGAGGGCAGGGTTTGCCACAACATGGAATAATAGTGATTAAAACTGAAACAAAAGTGTAAGATCATTTGGAATATATTATACAAGAGCAACTGTTACAAGAAAAGCAAAATAAGAAAATGCATGACATAACTATGAAACCTGCAAAGAATCATCTATCCCAAGCTATAATTGCCATAAATTACCTTTTGGCTCCTCTAATTTTTCATTCAACCTTTCTTTGCATGACAGTTTTTCAATTGGTTTAATTATGTTTTCTTCTGCAGAGAAGGCAGATGAAAGAAAGAAAGAGGAAAAGGATGAAAAGACAGTCTTTCAGAAAATGTAGATGAAGAATTGATTAGGTGATTTATAAACAGAAATAGGGAAAAAACCTGAAATCAAAACAGGTGAGAATGAGTGTTTAAAGTACCTTTATAACTATAATGACTTCAGTCCTATGTTTGCAAAAAGTGTAAGATCCCTAAAGTAGGAAATGCTGCTACTGAACTCACCACCAGGCTTCTACTCAAGGGAAGCAGAATATAATTTATCACCAACGTGTACACAGTAAATATATTAAATCACTCAAGCCTGGTAAACTAGTCAAACTGCAGGCCTAACTGAACCTAACCCTAGAATTCTGCATAGAGAGAGTGCCTCATAATTTGGAACTAACCTGCTCTTAAATTGTTATGTTTTATGGTTACACTGAGGGGGAGGAAAAATACCATTCCAAAGTAACAAATTTAATTTGGTTATTTCATCAGTTAAGGGGAAATGACAACTTGAAATCTAATAAATAAATTTAAAAAATGACTAAAAAAAAGTAGTTTCAGTTGCTATTCCTGCCTTTGGGACCCCCTGACAATGTTTGTGTTTTACCAAACATATTTTCATGTGTCTTTCTTAAATGTGTTTTACCCTGGTGTTGTTGTGTAAAAGAGCTAGACAAGAAACTGATGGACTATAAAGGAGAAATGGTGAAAATAGCTTTAGAAAGTGCTATCAAATGCACAAAGTTAACAAACAGAAAATAAATAGTATTTCTTCTCTAAACTCTTTCATGTATAGTTATTGGAGGCAACATTTTCCAGACAGAAGTGGGATTTTTAGGTTGATTGTGTCCATTTCATATGTTTGCATTTCATTATACATTTATATAATGCACTGATTTTTAGTTTATCTGGAACAGAATTATTCAGCTTCATTTCACATTCTTATAGCCTGGAGCTGTGATCTTGTCCGATTTTATAAGCTAAAATGGATTCAGGCAGGTCACTACTAGGCCTCAAGACCTTAAAGAAAAAGCCAGGTATTCGAGAAAGTAGGTCCACTGGTTCTTTAGATGGCACTCTCCTGTGAATCAATACTGAAGCATTACTCCAGCATGGTATTAAGGGGAAAAGTACTGGATTGAAGGGGTCCTTCTTTCGATAAAAGGTTAAAGGGAAGTCTCTGAAAATGCCATGCACTATTTAAAGGAGAAAGGATGGTTCAGTGGTTAGGTGCTAGCCTGAAACTGCAGACCTGAGTGCAGACTTGACCCTGCTTCCCTGAAGACTCACTACATGTCCTAAATGACTTGCCCAAGGTCAAGTTTTTCCAAAAGTAGTTAGGTGCTTAGAGATGCAGAGACGTGCCTAGTGGGATTTTCCAGAGCACCTATGCAAGTTAAGTGTATAACTCCAATTTATTTCAATGTCAGTTAGGGCTTAACTTGCTTCAGCATTCTTGTAAATTCCACTAGGTGCCTCTCTGCGTCTTTATGCACCTGAATACTTTTGAAAATCTGGCCCTTTGTCTGTCTGCCTCATTTCCCCATTTGTACAATAGGGATAATAGCACTGCCATACCTCACAGGGGTATTGTCAGGATAAATACATTTTGAGGTGCTCAGAAACTATAGTGATGGGGTCACATAAATACCTATGATAGATATTTGAAAGAGATGCCCCTTATTGGGTCAAAAATTCCAGTGTGGGTAATGACCTTCTTCCTACCAAACACTACTCATGTAATTTCAGACGGATAATATGTGCTTCACTTTCAAACAGAAAAACCTGTATTGTTGATGGCACAGATTGGCTACCACACTCCCTCTTATTAGAAGGGGCATGGCAGTTGCAAGGAAGTGAGACCTCTACATAGTATTTAAAACTCAAAGATCTTTCAGGATGAAGACTGCTACAAAAGTTTTAGGGCCAGCTGGTGATGTAAATCAGCATAGCTCTGTTGAAGTCAATGGAGGAACACCTATTCACACCAGCTGAGAAACTGGTTCTAAATTATTACTTTATTATCTAAAATCATAAAAAGTAATAATGTGGTCATATGGTTAGAATACAGGGCTGGGAATCCAAGAGTCCTGGCTCTAACATTAACTTGCTAAGAGATCTTAATCAAGTCACTTCACCTCTCTGTGCCTAATTTTCCCACCAGTAAAATGGGGATATAGTATGTATCATACAGTTCAGTAGTGGTGTGACACTTAATCTGCAAAAGCCAGACTCTGCCATCCTTACTCATATTGTCAAGTACATTACTCCAACAACCTTACTGAAGAAAGCAGGATTACTCATGCAGTAAAGTACTATTTAGTTTGAGGAAGGCTGGCAGGTTCAATGTTTGAGAACTGCTTTGAGAGCCTCAAACAAAGCACTGTGTAAATATTGCACATTATTTTTATTATATGAGCTCACACCCAGCATCCTTTTTTGTTTGTTTTTTTCCATACGAGGGACTGCTCTTTTATCCAATGTTCCAGTTCAAATTTACTAGGAATAATACAATCAAAATACTTTCTTAAATTAACACAGGAAATTAATGGCTCTGATAGATTAGAACGCAAATTCTTCCTGGCAGAGCTTCATAATTGGACTTCTAGCATGTACTTCCTCCACACCCTGAAATGTGAATATATACCTTGGCATATAAATATAGAGTACACTGTTCTTTTCAGGGGATACACATTAAAAGAGAAAAGCAAGAATACAGTGAAACAATTGTAAGCTAGGAGACCTTACCTAAATTAATTTTATACAATAAAAATTAACACAAAATAATGTGGCATATACAATTGTACTTTTTGTAATTATGAATTACCTGCATTCGTTCTGTTAAAAGACAGACCTCCTCCAGTAGGCCCTAGTGGTTTAGAAAACAATGAATTGTTCCAGATTCCTTGAGAGCCTTCTTTACTGGCTGCTACTAAGGAGACATTCTTGGGGTTTACACCTTGGAAAACCAATCATTTTAGAGTGTGAACGTCAATTTCAAAACACAACATATTAAGCAGTTAAAATCTTAAGAATGGAAGAACACCGTGACAGTACATTAAAAGTATTTGGACTTTACATGATGTTACAAAGAACTAAAACTTTTTTCCTATAACTCAAAGAATGATGCATACTGCTTAGGTTTTACAACTGAACCCTAAAAAAGACTAGTACAGAGAGAATTGTAATGATCAAATGTATAAGATAAACTTTTAACAGCTTCAGTGACAACTGATCTTAACCTTGTAAAAGTCTGCCTGAATGTGACCAATGTGAGCTACTATAGTTAAATGAAAGTCAAACAACATATTAAAAATGTAGTAAAGTTTTTATGGCAATCCAGTAATTAACAGCCATGTGTTATGTACATAAAAGTTATATTATGTGCTACCAAGTGCTGTATTTCCCAGATGAAATATAAAACCATTAAACAGTTACAACCACCAAAGGGGAATGCAAAATATTAGGCTTCCCATGACTAAAAGAAAAATTCTGTATTTCTAAAACACAGATGTATTGAAAGAGGTGGATGTGATTAAACAGCATGAAAGCAGCACCCAGATCTAGTGGAATTAAAGTAATAGATAAGTGTCCAGATTTAATATTTAGAAAGACTATTAAATACCATTTTTTTAAATCTGCCTTGGTGCTATGATTTTCTTACAAGCTGAAGTTGGTTTCTATTTTTGGATGAATATATTAATACACTCCTCATATCAAAAATGTGGCTCTGAACCAGAGGAATATTAGAAATGTCCTTGAAAAAGGAAGGAAATTGAGATTATTTATTAACTGAGCCATCTATAGGTAGAGACACATTCTTTAGAGATTAATGTTCTTGAGTCTTTGGGCCTTTATCTGACATTAAGGAATTGACTTTTTTCTTCCCCGCAGGGAATTCACTGGAAAGGCCTCAACTATACTTTTTACAAAGTGAATAACAAACTCATTTCTTTGGCAAATGAAGATTATTTACCTGTAACTGAGATTCTTTGAGATGGACTCTGCATATTCAAACTTATGAAATGCTCTGACTAATGGAGCCTGAATGGTAGAGCTCTAACTAGCAGTAGCCATTGCAGTGCTCAGGCACCTTCCTTATCCCTCCCATCAGTGAACATCCAGGGTCCCAAGGCAAAGGTATAAACGGGTGTGGTGCTCCAGCCACTTCAGTTCTTTTACCTATGATTGCAAGCCCTTTGGTAAGTAGGACTCTAAGGTAGTGAGGAAAGGCAGGCAGGAAGTGTCAATATGCAGAGTTCACCTCAAAGAACCTCAGAGGCAAATACCTTCATTTTTCTTTCGAGTGTCCTCTGCATACTCCCACTCATGACATAGCTTAAGCAGTACTCTGACCCAGGCAGGTGGGATGACAGAATCCTCATTGAATAAGGACTGCAGTATTGCCTTGCCAAATCTTGCATCAGATCTAAATACTATTCCTTAGATTTAGAAAAGGTATAAACAGAACTCTGTGTTGCTGCCATAAAAATCTCTCAGAGGAACATATCTAGAAAAAGCCATAGAGGCTTCCTTCTATCTAGTAGAATGTGTTTTAATTCCCTGAGGAATGGGCAACCCCATCAGTTTATAAGCTTCATTAATACATACTCTAACCCTAGCATTTGTACAGATACAGCTTTCCCCTTGTTCTTTCTTAGTTGCTAAACAAATTTAGGGACAGTCTAAATTGTTTAGTCCTGTCTAAATACCAGGCTAAAGCCCTTTTAACAGCCAGAGTATGTAATTTATCCTCTCCACCATGAGATTGGAGTTTGGGAAAGGAAGCTGATAAAATTGCAGACTAGTTTATATGGCAATCTGAGATCACTTTTGATAAAAATCTAGGGTGTTTACAAAGAACTACTTTGTCTTTATGAAAAACAGTGAATGGTGGATCAGCCATTAATGCACGTAGTTTATGTATGTGTCTTGCATAGGTGATGGCTATAAAAAAACCCACTATCTTAATAGACAAACAAAATAAATTACAGCTTGCCAAAGTTTCAAGGGGAGGTCTCATGTCAGAGCCATTGGCCATTATCTTTAAAAATTTGTGGCAATCGGGAGAGGTCCCGGATGATTGGAAAAAGGCAAATATAGTGCCCATATTTTAAAAAGGGAAGAAAGAGAACCTGGGGAACTACAGACCAGTCAGCCTCACTTCAGTCCCCAGCAAAATCAAGGAGCAGGTCCTCAAGGAATCCATTTTGAAGCACTTGGAGGAGAGGAAGGTGATCAGGAACAGTCAACATGGATTCACCATGGGCAAGTCATGCCTGACCAACCTGATTGCCTTCTATGATGAGATAAATGGCTCTGTGGATATGGTTGGTGGATGTGATCTATCTTGATTTTAGCAAAGCTTTTTATACGGTCTCCCACAGTATTCTTGCCAGCAAGTTAAAGAAGTATGGATTGGATGAATGGACTATAAGGTGGATAGAAAGCTGGCTAGATTGTCGGGCTCAACAGGTAGTGATCAACGGCTCTATCTTTAGTTGGCAGCCGGTATCAAGTGGAGTGACCCAGGGGTCGGTCCTGGGGCCGGTTTTGTTCAACATCTTCATTAATGATCTGGATGATGGGATTAATTGCACCCTCAGCAAGTTTGCAGATGACACTAAGCTTGTGGGGAGAGGTAGATACGCTGGAGGGTAGGGATAGGGTCCAGAGTGACCTAGTCAAATTGGAGGATTGGGCCAAAAGAAATCTGATGAGGTTCAACAAGGACAAGTGCAGAGTCCTGCACTTAGGAAGGAAGAATCCCATGCACTGCTACAGGCTGGGAACCAACTGGCTAAGCAACAGTTCTGCAGAAAAGGCCTAGGGATAACTGTGGATGAGAAGCTGGATATGAGTCAGCAGTGTGCCCTCGTTGCCAAGAAGGCCAACAGCATATTGGGCTGTATTAGTAGGAGCATTGCCAGCAGATCAAGGGATGTGATCATTCCCCTCTATTCGGCACTGGTGAGGCCACACCTGGAGTATTGCATCCAGTTCCCCCCACCCCACTATAGAAGGGATGTGGATAAATTAGGGAGAGTCCAGCGGAGGGCAACGAAAATGATTAGGGGGCTGGGGCACATGACTTACAAGGAGAGGCTGAGGGAACTGGGGTTATTTAGTCTGCAGAAGATAAGAGTGAGGGAGGGAGGGATTTGATAGCAGCCGTCAACTACCTGAAGGGGGGTTCCACAGAGGATGGAGCTAGACTGTTCTCAGTGGTGGCAGATTACAGAACAAGAAGCAATGGTCTCAAGTTGCAGTGGGGGAGATCTAGGTTGGATATTAGGAAACACTATTTTACTAGGAGGGTGGTGAAGCACTGGAATGGGTTACCTAGGGAGGTGGTGAAATCGCCATCCTTAGAGGTTTTTAAGGCCCAACTTGACAAAGCCCTGGCTGGTGATTTAGTTGGTGTTGGTCCTGCTTTGAGCAGGGGATTGGACTAGATGACCTCCTGAGGTCTCTTCCAACCCTAATATTCATCAATTGTGAGAGCACTATGTTTAAATTCCAAGATGGCATAAGATGTCTTATTGGAAGGTATAAATTATTGAGGCCTTTTAAGAACCTCTTAACTACATTATTAATAAATATTGATTTGTTCTCCATAGGTACATGTTGTGCTGATATAACTGAGAGATGAACCTTTACTAAGGATAGTGAAAAAGCTGTTTTCTTAAGCTACAATAAATATTGTAAAATTTAACGGATTGGTACTGAATATGGATCTTAATCATGCATAGAAATCCTCAATAAAAATTGTTTATTTTTCTTAATCCAAAATAGGGCAACCCCTCATCTTGTTTTGTCCATAATATTCCTTCTGCAGGTCTGGTTCACAATTCATATTTTCTTCTTCTGATCCAAGGTTATTCTCAGTTCAGAAGGAACTGGAGATACTACTACCCTTGGTTGGATATGGGACATCGGAGAAAAATTCTTCTCCGGGGAACCAGAAGGCTTTTTAAGTGATGGGAGAAGAGAAGAAATTCTCAAATCTTTTACATGACCTCTCTTTTCCGGAAAACACGTATCTGGGACTGTTTCAGTACATCTGCTTCCTTTTCCATTACTATAAACGGAATCAACCACTGGCTGAACCAGGGATGTATCGGATCTATGAATCTGTACCTTGACTATTAACTGCTGCAGTGCCACACTGCTACTAGTCACTAGTTCCATAGCATTCCTTCATCTCAATGGTTCCTTAAAGTCTCACTTTCAGAACCAGCTCATCCGGATCTGAGGAAGAACATCTCCTCACCTTCCTATGAGGATATATATCAAAACAATGGCTCCTTAAAAATACTTTGTTTAGAGGAGTCTTTCTCCTGCAGATTGCCTTTTTTTCCCCACAGAGGCTGACACCACCGAGAACTGGAAAATCATGCCTACCCTACCAGCTGAGTCTTTACTAAAAGTATTGGCTCTAGACATAGAGCCTCAGGAGGATTTCCTTTTCTGATCTTTATCACAGGGACTCCTAGCAACAGAGGAAGAAGACTCATTGACTCATCCAGTGCCACTCCGTGGGCTTTTCTTAGCTCCTGGCCTTGTTTCATTTCCAGATGGTTTTGCCAACACTAAATCATAGAATATCAGGGTTGGAAGGGACCTCAGGAGGTCATCTAGTCCAACCCCCTGGTCAAAGGAGGACCAATCCCCGAATAAATCATCCCAGCCAGGACTTTGTCAAGCCTGACCTTCAAAAACCTCTAAGGAAGGAGATTCCACCACCTCCCTAGGTAACCCATTCCACTGCTTCTTTTAAAAAGGATTACTTGAAGTCTATTCTGTTTTTCTTTGCTCTTGTTGTGAACATTCAGCAAATTGAACACTTAGAGGGTGAGTGCCAGGTATCTACATGTATATCCAATGTCAGAACAATGCCAGACAAGATACCCATCTTTTGAAACCGGAGTGGTTCTTCAGTTCCATGCCAAGTAAGGAATTGTATTACTACAACTATATAACTACTTAAAACTAGCTAACTAATCACAGATCTGGGAGGACTCCAGAGCTTCACACAAAAAGCATTCAGCTGGTTGCAGCTTAGAAGGAACTGAGCACCACGCTCCTTTATATCCTCACCCTGGAACGCTCGACATTCACTGAGGGAGGGGCGAGGGAGGACATGAGTGCCCCAACAACTACTGCTAGCTACAGTTCTACTGGTCAGTCTGCACCAGTCAGAGCAGAGGACACTTGAAGGAGAACCAAAAGCTCCTTTTCAAGCTAACTAAGTTGATATAGAAATGAATGTAACATAGTGTAATAGTGGAGAGGAGATGAGTAGTATGGCACCAGAGAGCTTATTATAGCCTACTTTCAGAGACAACTACTTATAGGTAAACAACTCCCCTTCCTTTCTTAGCTCCCTATTCTTGTTCCTGGCAATTAAAGAATTTTCCTATTACTTTGTAGACAAAATTGCTCAGATTTCAATTGAGCTGCCTATTCTACTCCCAAGAAAACAGATGTGTGTTGAGGGGACAAATATTGAGTCGTCCTCTCTGCCTGAATTTCAGACAAACCAAAAAGCATTCAGATTATCAAGGTGGGAGATGGCTTCAATCTACAGCCTCGGAGTTGGATTGATTAGCATGGATCCTAGAAATCTGTTTGCCAAGGAAATATGCAGAATTTGCATTTTTACAGAAAATCTTTAGTTTTACTCTGGCTGCCAGCTCTAAAGGCAGAGCAGAGAATGGCAGCTGCTGGCTGGTCACCCAGCTCTGAAAGCAGCGCCACCAGCAGCAGTGCAGAAGTAAGGGTGGCATGGGATGGTATTGCCAGCCTTACTTCTCCGTTGCTGCTGGCAGTGGCGCTGCCTTCAGCGCTGGGTACCTGGCCAGCAGCTGCCACTCTCCAGCAACCCTAGAGAAACTAAACTTCAGCGTTTCATTTTAATAGTAGACTGACTCTACTATCAGTTGAGATTGTCAGCCTTTCCCTATAGATGAACAGGATAACAGTAGTTCTTTAAGAAGCCATTGTGAGTATACGGTTCAAAAAACTAAATCTTGATGCTGACAATCTGTTTAACCAATACATAACCAGTTTCTTATTATTAGGGGAGATCACTGAGAAGGTTGTGCTGGGGCAACTCTGGCAGTGTCCTCAGTCCTCAAATTCCTTGATATTGGTCAACTGGATTATAGTTCTGGATATCAGGAACTGTACTGGTTGTGTTAGCTGATGAGCCTCTCTTACCAATGGACAAAAGTATCTGGTACTGATATGGTCAGCAGGTTTGGACATTACTGCTAAGTGGACCTGTGGAGTGAACTGCCACAGTATGCAAGCGGTGCTGAGACCTTCTCTACCCAGCCTGGTCCTCTCGTGCCAACTATGCTGTGTTTGAGGGCCCTGTATTCCTGAAGAACTGGAATAGTATTTGGCCAAAAGTCTGAAAATGTAAACTAGTCAATGAAAGGTGAAATTATCAAATCAGAAGAACAAAAAAAAGGTATCACAGATAGTCCCTTCAAAACTTGTGTTCTCCATGACAAAGATTTTTCCCTTACCAGGAAGATATCTTGATTGTCTCAGGTAGTATTGTTTTGCTGATGTATTTGATATTCCAGAGTCATTTCGCATCAGAGCTTTGCTTTCCCCTCCTGATTGGATACAGCCCAAGGCCTTTGGCTCTGGCATGCTGAAAACCAAGATATCTAGTAATTTAACTGATAACTCTAGACTCAGAATTACAGATATTTACTTTAGCCTGATAAGTACAGTGCTCTCATCCAAACTCCACAAATCTTTTCCAAGTAACGATTGTGGTCTTGATTTTATTTCTAGTGAAGTTAATGGCAAAACTCTTATTTACTTCAATGGGAGTAGACTCAGGCTGTATGTGGGAAAAAAAGTGTGTCCAGGTCTATTCTAAGAGCACCAGTGCCTGGTGACTACCGAATGCTTAAAGTTTATCTCTGACTGGGGACTGAGATACACAAATCAGTTCCTAATCACAAAATAAGTTTACAACAAGTAAACATTTATCACTTGGTGTAAAATAGACTGAACAGGAGTATATTTTCAGTGTATGTGTGGTTTTTTTAACACACAAGAGCAAAGGAACATAATCATCCTGAAAATGAAAAAAAAATAAAAATAAACATGCAGCACTAGGTGAAAGAATCATTGAAAAAAAAAACTCTCCCCAACCAATATCATATACCACATTCCTCAACTGAGAGCATAAAAAAAAAAAAGACATTAGGCAATAATGAAGACCTGAGACCAAAATCTTTAAATGTTGCCCAAGTGCTCCCTTTATGGGGCTTCATTACAGGGAGGCTTACTTATGTGAATTAGGCTGTTTGGTTTCTCATTGCCTCCATCAAAGTAAGTACACTTGTTAATAGCCAGTCAGCCTCAAGTATGGTGAGGCATACCTGCAGGGCCAGACATGGCCAAGAGAGGGTGCAGAGGGGCAGCTCACCCCTTTACAGGCTACTTTAAGAGTAAGTTACTACTGAACATTAGTAAGGGTGGCAGAATTTGTGCCTAACTTAGTGGATAAAGAAAATAAAGTTAGTTTAATGTTTCTAGATTTTAATCAAGCATCGAAATATATGAAAACTCACTCTAAAACCCAATTGAAGATAAAATAAAACACGATACAAATCAAGTGTCTTATGAAATTGTGGGACTTACCTAAACAAAAACTCTTTTGTTTTCTTTTCCTTTAACTGTGAAATGCTGGGCTTCTTGGAATATGAAATTCCAAATTCTGTGTCCTCCAAGTCATCCCAACTGTCCATAGTCTTTAACAGAGTCTGACCCCATCGTCTCCTGCAATTTTTAAGACCAACTGCACCATTTTGAAGGCCTGTGATTGCTTGCTTCTGTTTTCAATAGAAAAAAAAGTTTCAATATTCTCTATTCTTATATTTTAAATCTAGTTCATTGCCTGCGTGAATGCACTGAAGTGCTTGGAGAGATTTTTCTCTCCTCATGGTAAGCAATTCAGGCCCTAATCTTGCAGTGGTTCTGAATGTCTGAACAGACATTAGTATCAGTAGGAATTCTGAGTGTGGCTCAATGCAGGATCAGGCCCTAGTTGTCCAAATCTACCTGAAGAAGTCAGTTTAGGGACCATATACTAGTACCAATTTGCTGGGCCTAGTTCACCTCTTTGGTTCCACTGGCTCAAGCCTGCAGAAAGAACCTGGGAGCTGAAAATCTGACAGGAATAGGGGGCAGAGTAATACAAGCCAGTCACATCACCAGCGGTCCAGAGCCAGTTGGCACAACCCTAAAAGTAGATTGGCCTGCCCAGGAGGGAGCAGGACGAGGCCGGCCAAGCCTCTCCCAGGCACCCTCTGCCATAGGGTCTCCTGTGAAGTCCTAACCAGGTTTTAAAGACATTCTCTCCTTCATTCATTTGCAGTTGAGCTGATGGACATTGGCATGATTCTGGAAACCCGCTATTTATAAATACTTCTCATATTAGAGGCCAGTGAATATCATAGGGGGAAATAAAACAAAAAATACTGGATATCTTTTTAATTTCATAAGATTTCTTAATATTCTTGAGAACAGTTTTTATGCTCAAACTCCAGCTTTGGCTTGAACTGTACAGAATTAAAAAGTGTTTAGAAATAAAATGAAGATTTCAAGACCTGGTTTAAAGCTTAGAAGACATGAGTTTTATGGATTTTGTAGGTACTCATTACCTAGCAGGATTATGCTGGCAGACCTCAGTTGGAGAAGTAATGTCACATATAATAGCACTGGAAGGGTGGTCTTAAATAATCTAGTCCAACTCCTGCTTCAAGCAGGAGGAGCACTAACCCTTTCCAAGTGGTTATTTAAACTTTTTTGGTAATGCTTTATATTAATGGTATTTTTTATAAATAATTTATAAAAGGAATGATTACTAGATAATCATATTACAGACATGAGTAGTATGTGTTAATACTGTTGGTACATTCATCTATGATTCCTTCTACTGATGTGCTTTTAAGTCATCATTATAAATAACCTATTACACTGTCCAGAAGTTAATAACTAACCATTATTAAATCATCAATTAATCATTTATTAATCCTTGATAAACCACTTTTAGATGTTCTTGTGACAGATGGACAACATCCTGTAATATCCTGAACAAACCATACAGAATTAAGATTTAATTAATTAATTACATTAAACCTTATTGAATTAGGGATAACACCTTTGAGGTACACCATTAAAAATGCAATTATGTATGTGCCTTCTCTACGAGGGATGGGGGGGTTGCGGATATACTTCCTCCCTCATCAACCTTTTGAAGCTACCTCCTGGAGAGATATGCAAATACTAGTTCAAACTGGATTCTCCAGGGACCAATAGACAAAGAAAGGGTTTTTGAATAAATCGTCTGGTTTTAAACTGGTTCATGGTCTTCTTCCTGCTCCAGCAAATGAACAGGATCCCTGCTCCATGGAATGCCCCAATCCTTAGGGTAGGGTTAGAAGAACTGGGCCTACTGAGGTCTCATAAGGCTGGGTGCTTCTGCTATGCAGAGGCTGGAATGAACTTGTGACCACAAAGGAATCCCTTTGGGTGGGTGGGGGTTGAAGGATGGTTCCTGCCAGAGCCCATGTTAGAGTTGGAATTAATTCTGGTAGCTTATTAGCATGTGTGTAGGTGCTTTTATTGTTTTTAATATATTTTCTCTGTAATGCTTTTTACCTTAATAAAGCAGGCTTGCATAGGAAGTGCTGCATGGTTACATACCTGTAGCAGTTACACCAGTTAACTGTCTCTAAAGAGAAAGCAAGCATGTGTACTTGAGCAACCTATCTGTGCTAAAGGAAGGAAACTGTGCAGTCTGAACATACCCTAGTCAGGAGGGAGAGGGACACATGTCTCCACCAAGAAAGGCAACAGCTGGGGAGCTGGAACCCTAAATTTGGGGGCCCAGGATGGACCACGGAGGGGAAATACAGGTGTAGTTGCCCTGAACTGTGACAGTATTTAATGGAAAATGTGACCCCTTTTAAAAAAAGGTATCTAGTGATTGTACCCCAGCTAACACGGACAAATTATTTCATATATATGCTCTTAACTTTTATTGATAACTTACTGGTGATGAATTTTTATTGATGGCTGGAAGAAGTGGTTGTGGCTGCTGCTGTTGGGGTAGTTGTTGGTTAGTTGTATTCTGTGACAGCTGGATTTGCTGGAGAGGTTGGTGGTTAATCTTTGACGGAAGTTGTGGCTGAGTCTCGTCAAGTGCATCAGGTGAAGACTGAGATTCTGGCTTGGATACAGATTCTAGTTTTGATACAGGTTCTAATTTCGGTAGATTTGGCTTTGGCTCTGTTGGCTGAACAGGTTTAATAACAAATTGTTTCTGTTCCAAATATTGTGGAGGAGGTCCTAAAACTTGGCCAACTTGAAAATAAGGGTATTTCAAAGCCTGAAAAAGAATGTAAAACATATTCAATACATTTCTATAACTAAAATGCAGTAACTTCTTCACCAGAGATGTAAGCAGGTCTCAAGCTTGTTAACAAATTCTACAGTGCAGGTGCAAGATGGATGCAAAATGAACTCACATGTGTAAGTGGAGCGCATGGAATGGTGTACACTTGATATTCAATTCTGTGGTGAGGAAGGAGTAAAATAAGACTGTGGTACTGGGGTGGCATGCAAAAACATGACTGGCAGGTATTGCAGGGTGTGTTTTGGGGGGGGGATGTGATTACAATCTGGTGCTTGTAAATTATGCGAACATGCAGCCTAGAAATACCTTAAAAAGGTGAATGGATGGATAGATAGCTTACAGATAATGGATAGAGGAGATTCCTTGTAAGTTAAGAGCCTTCTTGCCATCCCAGCACACGGGTGGATTCTCTATTGCAATGTTCAATTCACCTTGTTTCCTAGGTTACCAGCACTAATCAGGAACATCCCCAAGGGGGATATTTCTGAATGAGGTTCTCCTCTTACTTAGGTTAGGTAGGCTACAGCTATTGATGTATATGGGAACAGTCTCATGTAGGTGACTTACACACATGCATCATGGCTGCTATTCTGAGTGAGTCTTTGTTCTTTAATTGGTATATGCTAATGAGCAAAGTTTCTCCTGCATTTTCAGTTCACTCTATGCATGTTCACATCCGCAGGTCGCTTGTTTTGTTTTATGTAGTCTACTGTGGCGTACATCCAGAGTACAGTGCTTGCTGTACTCTCATGATGTTCATCTGTAAATGACAGCACCTATTTTCTTGCCCTTGATTGTTCATTTTGCTTTTTTCCATGGCATCCTCATGTCCTCTGCTGGGTGCACAGCAATACTATATGCTCCAAAGGTGTAGTTTCCCAGAGCAGCCCAAAACATTGTTCTGACATCTGAAATCCAGGAGGGATTGTCATTGTCTGAGCCTTAGGGTATGTCTACACTGCCACTGGGAGGTGCGATTCCCAACACTGGGAGACAGATCTGTGCATGCTAAAAATAGCAATGTGGACATTGGCATGGGCAGTGGCTCAGGCTAACTGCCTAAACTCAGCCCCAGGGGGTCAGGCAGACTTGGACTTGGGGGGCTAGCAGGATTAATTTTAACCAACTCCTCTTCAAAGGCAGCATTTAACTTTTAACCAGGTTTTTCTCAGCAGAAGGATTCTTAAGTTTTAAAGTGAACCACTGAAAGAGTAGGAGTGACATCTTTTCTTTTCAGATTATGTGGCCTTGGAATGGTTTCATTGGCTTCTTATTTTTGCGTGTGCGCATTTAACTTTTTAAAGCTTGTCTATCTTCATTTTCTGATGTAGGCAAATCAAGTTATTTTGCCTAAGAATAAACTGCTTCATGCTGAGGTAGTAAAAAGAGCTAAACAGCACCAGCATGCTACAGTTCAAATCACTTATAAATTTCTCTCCCCCACCTACTCCTTCACTCTGCCTATGAGGAAATCTAAGTGTCCATTGGTTTTTTTTTTTTAAATGTGTTTCCAATTAATTTAAATACTATAGCAGACATGTACCAAAAGTTATGAAACTGATGGTTGCTGAAATAAGGATCAGCATTAAGGGACCTGTAAAAATGTGCTGAAATATTGTGTGTGTTAGGGCCAGATTTTGCCTCCCTTACTCATAATTAGTAGTATTTTATTCCCAGAGCCATCTCATTAAAGTTAAAGAGACTTCTCAGAGTAAATTACTATGCATTATGTGCTTGATCCACTTTCATTAAGGTCAATGAAAAGACTTCCATTCACTTCAATGGGAGTTGGACTGAGCTTTACGGACAGGGCTGCCAGAATCTGGCTCTTAGCCTTTGCATATGCATAAACTAGAATGTGAATCTGTAAATGCAATTCAAGTGATTAGATCACTCACTTTACATGAGAAAATGCAGTTTGCATACAACATAATGCATGAAAGAAATACACCATCCTGGCCATGTAAATGTCCTCCTGTCCTACAGGAAAGGAAGTTCTTAATGTTGTTCCATGGCATCCACTCTAATGAACACGAAATCTCCTGAAGGATAGGAAGAATTTTAAAGGGCCAGGACACAAGATGTGAAAAATTTCAGTCTGGGTTAACAGATCTGGATTTGGGTCCTGATTCCAAAACACCTGGATCTAGGGTTTTATTTAAGACCACCTGTAATACTGAAAAACACAGAACCAAAATAATCTTTGATGATCTCAACCCCAGGTAAGTCCATAAAATAGAACTAAGAGTGAATTTGTCCCCATTGTTTGATACTCGTGATGTTACTGAATGGTACCAGGGAAACTCAATCCAGAACAAGCTCTGTGCATACTGTACATCAATAGTCAATTACAATTCAAGACTTTAGGGCTATACATCATGTCCACATGGGTTGAGGCTTGTTCAGTTAACAGATATGAGCATCACTTCATTTAATATTCTAAAGTGAAACTGTCTAAAACAGAGGACTAAAGATCTATTTAAAATATAGCAGATCAACTATTTTATAAGTGTAACAAATTTCTTTCAAACTATTGAAACATAGGGTATTCAATTCAGTACTGTGTACTAGCCATCAGATTAATTTTAAAACTAAACTGTGGTAGTCTGCATGGCTGCCTGATTTTCATATGATTAGATCCCTGAATTTTTGAAAGTCAAATCTGATCAAATGCCTGTTGTCAACTTTTCATATAGATATATATAGATATAGATATATATATTTTTTTTAGGGTAAAGTCAATGTCAAATATTTGCATTGGCAGAAAAGTGGGGGTTTTCCACCCCACCTTTTGAGAGTTATAAACTGCTGGTCTTATCTGGCCTATGACCTGATATCACAGTGACCTACATACCCGGAGACAGCTTGATCACAAGCACTAAAATACAAAATCATACAAAATGAAAATTGCAGCGCTTTGCAGATATGCAATGAACATTCTAAGTACCATCATGGATTTTTAGTAAAAGTTGTAATGTATACAAAACCCACCCCATGAAGCAGCTTCTGGCACTACACTACATAGAACCAAACAATTTTCTATTGTGAATTACAACATTTAAGGAAAACAAGTTCTGCACAAACATTTAACTGATTTTGTTTATAATCCACTTCTCCAAATATCAAGATTCCCTGAAAACACAACTTTAAATTTCTCATCAGGTTAGTTCAGCCATTTTTCCATCCAAGTTGAACTCAATGTACTTATTACATTGGATATTTTGAGTGAGGGTCAATCTGCTCTCCATGGACATTAAAGAACTCTATTGCACTTTCCAAGAAGTAAAGCCCAATGTTATAAACCAAAGTTCCCCCCATGATAGAATATACCCCTATATTCAGATCCTACACACTATTGTAATAATCTTTGTACAAGATATGCCTTGTAAGGTATCATTTGAAAACTCATAATTTTCTGGTCAGTATTGTGCTGGTAAAATGTGTGGCAACATTATATGTAAAGTTATAAGATTTCCTTGTATGATGCCCTGCCCAAGCAGAAGTTAACAAACAAGTCTATCTTAAACAAAGGATGAGTGCTTGCCTTAATTTGCACTTAAGCAGTAAACAGAGTCATCAAGCTGGGAGGGAAACAAAGAAAGATCAAAACCGCATGAGAAAAAGCCAGCGGGGAGCATCCTTGCGCGTCAACTCTTTGTCTTCGAGTTCCCAGCTGCAAATGTTTTTCAAGAGGAGGACTGAAACTATAAAAAGGAGGGATAAACATCCCAAGGCACCCCCTCTATCTCCCTGTCCATTGCATTCACTGCACCTGAAGAGATAAAGGAAGAATTCACTGGACTCTGAGGGAGGGGTACTGACCTAAAGGGTTTGGTCAGTAAGACCGATGAAAGCATGTGGTGAGAAACGTTGCTTGAATCGGATATCGTCTGTTAAGTTAGGTATTAGTAAATGTCTTATCTTTATTTTTCTTGTAACCATTTCTGATTTTTATACCTTAATACTTGGACTCACTTAAAAGCTCTCTTTATTGAATACAAACCTGTTTTATCTAACACAGTGTGTTTAAATTGAAGTGTCTGGGTAACTCTATTTAGAGTGACAAGTTGTGATCATATTATTCTCTTAAATAAATAAGACTTGATTCAATTTTTACTGTCCAGGAGAGGGCTGTATGGTATAAGACATACATTTCCGGGGGGGGGGGGGGCTAAGAATGGGGGGGTGTTGGGGTCACCCTGCAGTATAACCAAGGCTGATGAGAGCCAGAGCATGACCCAAGTGTGGCTTGCAGACTGCAGTTACACACACATACACACACACTCTCAGGGTGTGGCTTGCACGCTGCAAGGCTGTTTGTGAGTGGTCCAGGTGGGAGCTACTTCAGCAAGGCACCCAGCGTTGCAGGCAGGGGGGCTGGGGAAGATAAATACACCCAACTAGAGTAATACAATTCATTTCAGGCAACTATTTCTTATAGTCTATTTTAATTGTGACACAGCTGCTCATTAGTCTGGATTGTACTCTGGTACGTCACACTGCCTCTCCTACTTTTTTTCCTTTTTGCATTGCTCTGGGCACCAGCTTGCTGCCTTTCACCCCAGAGGAGGCTGCATTTGAGCAGGGCAATATGTATGCAAGTAGTAAAATATTTTGAGATCACCCAGGATGAGAAGCACTGTGTATATTTGAAATGTTATTACTAAATCCAGAATGTATTTGATGAGAAAGAGGAGCTCTGGGGAACAGGCTCCCCAGCAGCAGAGAAACTCAGAAGAAATGGCATGTTCACTCTAATAATGATGCCCCACTAACCCCTCAACTCCACCCTTATCCCATCAGCCCTGTTCCCCCCACTGCCCTTTACCCCTTCAGGGTGGCTCCAGCCCAGTGGTGGGGAGCAGTAGCCAGGGCACCAGGCCAGCAGCAGAGCAGTCAGGGTTAGGTGAGGAGGTGGAGTCAGCCACGTTCCAGAACTCTGAGGTGATAGGAAAGCTAGGCCACTCCTTGCAGCTCAAGGAGGAATTTGCAACACTCACTTCTGGTAACAGTATGGCACCCTCATCCCACCCGCTGCCCCAGAGCAGTGCTTCCTATTAGAAGGACAGAGCATTGTGATGTATCATGCTTCAAATGGGCAGAGACAGAATGAATGTCTTGGCTCTGCCCTGCAGGAGGAAGGACACATGAACAGTAGGTGTGGGTGAAGAAAACAGAGGGAGAAGAGTGCATGTGTGATAGGTACATTTCTACAGGGCTCCAACATATAATACCATATGGACTATTGCACATCTGTTTCCATGAGCACACACTAAAGTCTCCTTTATGCACTGCACAGCTGACTCCTTGACAATGCAATTTAGGCTAAACCTAGTTGTTCCTTTTTACAGAAGGGCTGTGTGGCATTGTATGTATGATGTCTACAGTGCTAGAGGTGACACTTGTAATACTAGTTCTTTTTTTAAAGTGGAGAGAGGTGGTTGATTTATTTTGTACCATCAGCTTAGTCACATTTGAGTCACCTGCATTATATCCACATGTGATTAGTTGGATTTTCATCTTGTCCTGCAATATTCCCTTTCTCTGTTGCATTCCCTACTGTAATCCTCTTTTACATCCTATAAGTGTGCTTACATTAACTTTGGCTATCCACAAAAAGGTATCCAATTTAGACACCTTTGGTACTTGGCAGTACACATATTTGGGGTTTTTATGAACTCTTATGGAAAAAGATGTGATAGACCATTGTTGAAGTCCCCACAAAATTTGTCCCTGATTGCTTAGTAAGGGTCACCTCAGATCTACAAATAAAGATATTTAGCTCCTATATAGCACTTTTCACCCATGGATCTCAAAATATTTCACAAGGGAAGGTTTTATCACTATCCCTTTTATAAATGGAGAAAATGAAGCACAGAGAGAAGTAATTTGCTCAAGGTCATACAACAGGTCAGATACCAGGAAAACAACCCAGGTCCTCTGAATCCCAGGTCAGTGATCTGTCCATTAGACCACATTGCTTAGTTCACACTGTTTCACTTGCTGACTGCATTTATTCAAGTCGGGTGTGACAGAGACTGAGTCTCTGATATGAACCCGTGCTGACAGCATCAACAAGACCAAATTACAGAGAGAACAGAACTCAGAGTTTGATATTCGTTGAACCACCCAACTTTGAACATTCGGGCTTCTCTTCTGTCTTCTTTCCACCCACATCTACAAAATAGGAGGCTGACTTTTACTTTTCTACAGTGCTAGGATGATCATTTTGCTAGTGTGTGTAACATTTTAATCTAAAGCACTATATAAATTATTAGCCTTATAATGAATCCATCACTTAGGCAGTCTTACCTGACTTGCTGTAGGTCGTTTCTTTGGATCCCAGTTTAGCATATCAGTCATAAGCTGTATTGCCTCATTGCTGGCATTTGGAATGAGAGTTTTGAGGTGCATAGAGATACATTGTGGGAAGCGGAAATTCATGGCAGACGCAAGCTGGTACCCTTCTGGCCAGTCACTCTGTTAAAAAGTGAAAACAAGATGGCAGAGAGTTAACACACTAACTCTTTGATCGTTTTGGATCAAATTAAAACAGAATTCTAGAACCTGCATACTGAGGAGGGAGGTGCACAGCCCAAGTGATAGAAGCTGGAATCATTAATCTTGTGGAGAGAATCCATAATGCCTTGGCATACCTGCATCTCTTCAGTCTATTAAAAATTCTGCAGGTAAAGTTGTCTTCTTCTGCTGCCACTGCAACCATATTACCCCAATGCCCCCTGAAATCCCTTCACTGGCTTCCTCTCATCTTCAGCATTAAGTTCAGGCTTCTCAGTTTTACCTTCCACCCCTGCTTACATCTCTCTTCTGTTGATTAATCCTACATGTCCTCTGATTCCCATGTACCTTCCCTTTATACCACTGTTTGCTCCTGTCACCTTCTTTCATGTCATCCTCTAGTCTCATTTCCCATGCACCAAGCATCATTCACCTCCTCCTTCAAACCTTCTTTCACGAAGTCTCCACACTGTTGCATCTTCACACCTCCTTCTATTTGAACTGTTGTGCTATGGTTAGTTGTGTCCAAATTGAACAGTATGCTCCTTGGGGTAGAGACTGTCTTTCTATGTGTTGTGTAAAGTGGCACACGCATTTAGCGTGTACTACAAATAATAACCTATGTAGTACTTTTGTAACTCATTGCAGAATCAAGCATTTACGATTTTTGTTTTAAAAAGAACAAAACCTGATTTGTACCTGCAGAAAATAAATGTTTGCATACCCAAATATTTGCCTGCTCAGATATTTACTTGTGCAAGCAATTTCTGTGTGTGCAAAAATGCAAATACATGTGCACATTTTTGTAAGCACTACTCAGCCTATATTTATCAAAACTTGGCCCTTAAATAGCATATGGTGCCTAAAATAATTGAAAGTAATTCTAACACCCTGCAGATTGTGTACATTTTTCCTCCCTTTATGCTATTGCTAACAATATTTTACATGAAAACAGAAGCACTTTATCTTAACAGTTTATGTGTTCCATTGTTTCCTCACAATTCTCTAATTAAGACATCATAATAATTTCCAGAATACTAATTTGGCAATGTTACAATGAAAAAAATATTTTAATGCAAATATCCTTAAAGCCACAGGTGCAACCTCTTTTTTAAAAAACAATTTTTCATTTATCTGGCTTTCATCATGATGTAGATTAAGTGGATATAAAAATCACACATCATATAAAGGGTGTTAATACACAAAGCAGGAATATTATTCTATACGTCAATAAGAACGAAAGTAAAATTTAGAAAGCATTAAGTGTTTGCACAAGCAATTACTACAACAGCAATAGTTTATATGCACCCACTAAAAGCAAGATAGCACTCCATATGATTTATTCATTTTATTCTCATTAATGTACACTACTACAAATCTACAATAGGACTTACCTTCTTTGGAGTCCCTAATACTTGGCAAATTTTGAAGATTTCATCTACTTCGCTTGTCCCTGGGAAAAGAGGTCTCAGCGTGTACAGTTCAGCCATTATGCTACCAACAGCCCATATATCAATAGGAGAGCTATAAACAGAAGATCTCAACAAAACTTCAGGCGCACGGTACCTATAAGAAATAATGGGCCAAATTCAGAAGTGGTGGTACAAAGCGAGGGTAAGTTAAGGTCATATGTTTACTGCATAAATCACTTACCATCTGGTAGAAACATAATCTGTGTATGGTGGTTGAGATCTTAGTTCTCTAGCCAATCCAAAATCAGCTATTTTCACAAGCTCTGGACCCATACAGAGAAGGTTTTCAGGCTTCATATCCCGATGGAAAAAACCTGTGAGTATATACAGAAAAAGACAAATTATGCCATCACTTGTTCAGCAACCAGCTTTGATTTAGCCATACAAAATTCACTTTGGGATTCTCTGGAGACCATAAGCTTTTCTTTCATTCACACACTTTCAACATACGTATGTTATATTATAAAGGAAGGAAACAGTTTTCCTATAATTTAATTGGATTTATTGGTAAATTAATAAGCACAAACTACCTGGTTTTAAAACTCTAAACTTAAAACGAAAACATGCAGCAGCTTTCAGGAAATAGCTGTTTCATTTTGTACTGTGATGGTTTGGCTATCAATGCAATGGTAGTTAATGGAAGTTTGTTTTGTTTAATAATTTTAAATAACTGAAACCAGTTTTAGAAACAGAGCACTTTTTTGTTTCTTCCTCTTTTTATATATATATATAAACAAGAGTCTCTGACATAATTCTTCAGTTAACATTTCTTGTAGGAGTTAGTTTTATTTATCACTATGGGACCAGCTTCCAAACACTGGCTTTTAACAGGACATCCAAATTCTGATTTTAGATGTTCATATCAGCAGTTACGCATATAAAGGTCTGTTTCATGCACCTACATTCTAATTTGAGCATCCAAATACAGGATTTGCAAATTGTATTTAGGTATCCGTGTTTTAAAATTAGGTTGTGTATAGCATGGTTTCTTCCTCTACATGGTCTAATCATCCTTGCTGTTTAATTCAAATATGTTGTTACTTTCTACAAATCTATCTATTGACCCCACTAAGCAATACTGCAATTCAGTATTTACTGAATTTATTGGTTTTCTATGTTCAGCCAAGAAGATATGAGTATCATCATTATCAGGAGACGTTGGAGATGGACTGGCCATCTCCTTCGGATAGAAACTGATTCCATCACCAGAACAGTACTAAGATGGATACCTGAAGGCAAGCGAAAACGAGGCCGCCCGAAAACAACGTGGCAAAGAGCTGTGGAAGCTGAACTGAAAAACCTGGGACACAGCTGGGGAACCACTGAAAGACTTGCCAGAAACAGACAGGAGTGGAGGAGCTTCATCACTGCCCTAAACGCCACAGGCATAATGCGTACTAACTATGTACTGAAAATCTAAAATCACAAGGATTCAGCTCTAATTATGAAGGCAAAAGGTAATTTTGTAAATTTCATCATCTTTCTATGCCCATATATCTAAGATTACAACAACACGTTAACATTTTATAGAAATGAGACTTTTTCACACGTTCTCTACATGTGACTCACTCATCTATTTTATGCGTATAAATAGAAAGTTTGATGACCAGAGAATAATCTACAGTCATAAATCAAAAAGACACAAAACCAATACTTTAGGGATCACTTACAACATTAGTAAGCATAGGAGAGGTTCTTTTTAGTGAAGTACTATATTTAAGAGTCTTATTATGCTTGTGTACAAAAGCTAAGCCAGAGATGACTTGGAATACTATTTTCTTTATTTCATTATCAGTGAACATCTTATTTTCTCTGGCACATTGCAGAGAAAGTGATGAGGGGAGGAAAAAAGTATAAAGATAAAATGAACAGGAGAGTAGGATGATATTTTTTAATATAAAGGGACTTGATACTAGTATATCAGAATGCAGTTTAAAAGATGCTTTGCACACCAGAATAAATTAAGTGCAATATTTGGCTAAATTTGTGTAAGTTCTGAAAGATGCAGTGCACCCACAACTTCTTCAGTAAGCTGCGGCTGCTCATACCTGCTAGATTTCATGCAATAGACACGTTCAGTTTGTATTTTAGTGAACAAATTATTTCAACATTTTTGTAGATATTGCACTACTTTATTTTGATATCTTAAAAGATAGATGAAACTGCAATCTGCAAAGTATCAATTGTCGCCAAACATACCCTCTTGAGAAAAATAAGAAATACACTGTATAGCACAACATGCAACTTTCTTCAGAATCAAAATCATCTTTGATCTAGGGCTGAAACGTACTAAACAGTCTCTAAATAATAATTATTGATGCTTTCAGAAAAGAGAGCCTCTGATTACGGAAGAACCAAATATATTTTAAAAATCCAGACAGCTTTCTTAAGATAGCACATTTTTGAGACTACATATGGCAGCCACATACTTTCTATAATACTATAACTTGATCTGTTTAACCTATAACCCCAGCCATAAAGTTTTTTCTACGATTACTGTGCATTATCTTCTTTCTCAAAAGAGGGCTGCTGTTAAATTCTACAAAGAAACCTACCGTGCTTATGGATAAAAGCTAGCCCTTGTAATATTTGATACATAATGTTTCTGATGACTGACTCAGGGAACAACTTGTTTCTGCAAAGAAACAAATTTACATAAAATATTTAACTATTTCAAGCAATTTTTATAGAGATTTTTTTTCCTGTAATGAACAACATTTTCAGCATTTTACACAATACACTATGACGCAACTGAACCTCAAGGGTGAAAGAACAAAGCAAAATATTTATATTAACAATCAAGGGCTTAATATGGAGTTCCATATTCAAGTAAAACTCTCTCTGATTGCAAAGGGTATTTTGTCTGCAAAAGGATGGAAAGATCAAGTTCCAAGTCTGTATATAAACATGTTGGTCTTCTCTCTCCTTCTCTCCTGCGTACCTACAACCACTCCCCACTGCCCCCACCCTCTGCAAGCCAAACCGAACAATATAGACAGTTGGTGAAATATTAGTCTAGTGGTGGGCAACCTGCGGGCCGCACGTGGCCTGTCAGGATAATCCGCTGGCGGGCCGCAAGACAGTTTGTTTACATTGACCATCTGCAGGCACGGCCGCCCGCAGCTCCCAGTGGCCGCGGTTTGCTGTTCCCAGCCAATGGGGGCTGCGGGAAGCAGCAGCAGCCAGCGCGTCCCTGCAGCCCGCGCCACTTCCCGCAGCTCCCATTGGCCGGGATGGGCAAACTGCAGCCACTGAGAACTGCAGGCGGCTGTGCCTGCGGATGGTCAATGTAAATAAACTGTCTCACGGCCTGCCAGCGGATTACCCTGATGGGCTGCAGGCTGCCTACATTTCGTCCTTCATACATTAAAGGGATTAAGAAAATTGCTTTCACAAATTCCTGCATGGCTACTATACACCCAAGGCATATGATTATATCAGAATTCTTATCTGTTATACCAGCTATACTGGAAGCTGAACAATTCATAATTCTGTCCTCAGATACACAGGCGTAACTTCCGTTGACCTCAGCTTTTATTAATTTGAATCTACTAAGTATGGAATGGGTCTTAAAACTGAAATTTTAACACATTGCTCAAGATATCAATAGAACTCATGAAAAAAATTGCAAACACCAGATTCTACTGTACATTTTACAAATGAAACATACCTGTCCTTCATTAACTGATAGAGATTTTCCTTCATATACTCAAACACAAAATAAAGATGGTCATTTTCTCTGATAACTTCTTTCAGTTTTATCACATTAGCGTGATTCAGCTTCTTAAGAGACTGCAATACAGCAACATGTGTATTCAACTTATGACAGTAATTTTGGTTATCCAACAGAGCTACAGTAGAGCAATGCCTAAAGTTTTGTTAATTCTACATTAGAAATAGTTCTTGGTAGGGTGACCAGATGTCCCGATTTTATAGGGACAGTCCTGATTTTTGGGTCTTTTTCTTATATAGGCTCCTATTACCCCCCACCCCGTCCCAATTTTTCACACGTGCTGTCTGGTCACCCTAGTTCTTGGACAAATGCAGTGTATCTTGTCTATTTTTCTGTACTTCTTCTGAATACCTATTTGCATTCCTCCACATCAGTGTTACGTTTATGAAAAAATAAACCTTCAGGGCCAAATTTTCAAAGAGTATCAAGTTTGTGCATGTGAAACTATTTTCATGCAAAAATCCAATATTTTTCAACCAGGCACTCATTTATCTATAATTTGCATGTAAAAAAGACAATGCCAATCAACAGAAAACTTACAGTAAATGGATATTTTAAGGTTGCTATCAAAATCATGAGCACAACCCAAATTCATTTGCATGCAAGATAAATGAATATGACTTGGATGAAGACAGTAATGGAAGAGCCTTCCATATCATATAAATATCACAAATCACAAGATACAGAATTTTTCAGCTCCACCATTAATCAGTTCACTACACTGCTTCATATAGTGTTTAATTTAAAACATTATGTTACACTGTTGGATGTAAAAACTTCAAAACCAAAACGTCAGGTAGGAGAATAAACTTTCCCTCTAGCTCCTTAATAATCTGGTTTTATATTTAGGACTAACCAAGGTATAAATTTAAACAAGAAGGTAAAGACACAACATTCAGTATACATTAAAAAACATTATGCTCTCAGTTTTACCTTGACTTCTCTCAAATTCATACATTCATCCCAAGAATAGAACTTTCTTTTCATCCTGAAATAAAATCCAGAAAATACAGTTTATTCTAAATGAATAATACATACAAAATATTCTTAGAACCAAGAAAGATCAGGAATGTGTCACTTTTCAGCAGCATAACAATCAAATTCTATTTTCAGTATGTTTCAAACATACTTTACTAAATATTAATAAAATTATTAAATCTAGTTGAATTGCATTGTTTTTAGGTTTGCCACAATTAAACGTAATGTATATTTAACCACACACAGAATTTTTAAACGGTAGCTAGCCACATAGACCAAGGTATCCCCAGGAGTTCTATAGATATCAGCAAGCATTTTACCCCACCTATGTAATTTGACCTATGTCCTTAACTCTGGGAGTCAGCATGACCCAGTAGATAAGACATGGGCCTGGGAATTTGAAGTAGGGGAGGTCACTCAGGCCTTGGCTACACTAGAGCGTTACAGTGCAATAAAGCCTCCCCCAGCGCTGTAACTCACTCCCCGTGCACACTGGCAGAGCACTTACAGCGCTGTATTTCCGTGGCTACAGCGCTGCAGGTACTCCACCTCCCCGAGAGGAATAACAGCTGCTGCGGAGTGGCTGAGACACTGGTGCTCCAGTGTAAACGGGGAGTAACCTTATTACGCAGTGATTGACCTCCAGAAACTCCCCATTATCCTTTTAAGTGAAGGTTCCTCTCCTTGTTTTGTTGTGATGCCTCTCTTCATTTTGTTGTGAACTCCGAGGCTCCAGAAGCTGCTTATCAAAAAAACAAACACAGCTACTGTTTGCTGTGAATGAGTAGAGCCAGGCAGGGGGGCTCCCTTTGGAACGCCCACAGCTAATGTTTGCTTGAAGAGAGAGGCGGTGCGTGGTGGCTGCTTATCTGGTCTGTGAGGAAAAAAACAAACAGCTGCTGTTTGCTTTCAGTGAGTGAGAGAGGGAGGTTGGAACTTGCAAGGCAGGGTGCTGACAGTGTCGACACTCCAAAAACCCACTCTCTCTCCCCCCGCGCTCCCTGTCACACTCCACCCCCCCTTTTGAAAAGCACATTGTAGCCACTTGAATGCTGGGATAGCTGCCCAGAATGCACCGCTCCCAATGCCGCTGCAAATGTGGCCAAGATAGTGCACTGGCAGATATCAGTCTGGACAGACTGCAGCGCTTTCCCTACTCAGCTGTACGAAGACAGGTTTAACTTACAGTGCTGTACAGCTGCAAGTGTAGCCATACCCTCAGGGTATGTTTACACTGCAAGTGAAAGTGCTATTGTAGACATACCCATGCTAGCGACAATCTAGCTAGCGTAGATAACGATAGTGGTGTGCAGACATGGTGATACTGACTTCAGCATGGGCTAGCTGCTTGAGTACAAGCCTGCTGGGGTCTGGGAGCCCGACTACATACTCAGGTTGCTGAAAGTTATGTACAGCCTAGCCCCACTAGAATCCAAACATCAGGCTTCATTTTGCTCTTCCTGAAGTCAAACGCTCACTAACTTATTCATAGATTCTAAGGCCAGAAGGGATCATTGCAATCATCTAGTCTGATCCCCTTTAACACAGGCTATAGAACTTCCCCAAAAAAATTCCTGGGACAGATCTTTTAGAAACACATCCAATCTTGATTTAAAAATTGCCAGTGATGGAGAATCCACCACAACCCTAGGTAAACTGATCCAATGGTTAATTACTCTCACTGTTAAAAATGTATGCCTTACTTCCAGTCTGAATTTGTCTAGCTTCAACTTCCAAACATTGGATCGTGTTATTCCTTCCTTTGTTAGGCTGCAGAGAGTCTATTACTAAATATTTCTTCCCCAGGTAGGTTCTTATAGACTGTAATCAAGTCACTCAATCTTCTCTTTGTTAAGCTAAATAGACAGATTTAAAGAGCTCAATCACTATGACGTGTTTTCTAATCCTTTAATCATTTTCATGGCTCTTCTTTGAGCCCACTCCAATTTATCAACAACCTTCTTGAATTGCAGACACCAGAAATGGAAACAGTATTCCAGCAGCAGGCACACCAGTGCCAAATACAGAGGTAAAATAACCTTCCTACTCCTACTCAAGATTCCCCTGTTTATGCATCTAAGGATCACATTAGCTCTTTTGGACACAGTAGCACACCAGGAACTCATGTTCAGCTGATTATCCACCACATCCCCCAAATTTTTTTTTCCACAGACACTGCTTCCTAGGAGAGAGTCTCCCATCCTATTGGTACAGCCTACAGTCTTTGTTCTTAGATGTATACCTTTACATTTAGCCATATCAAAATGCATATTGTTTGCTTGCGTCCAGTTACCAAGCCTTTGAAAACAAAGCCAAATTCCAAGGGCAGGAGGGAAGAGAGTTGTAACTCTACAGTATGAGGGTTGAATTAAAGCAGGTTGGGAAAGACACCTGCTCAAATGGGCCCACAATGTGTTTCTTCCTTTAGAAACAGAATTGCTTTGGTGTTCATCTTTAACCTGTCAGAAGATCCAAGAAAACCTTAAAGTTACATTTATTATTTAGCTTCCCTGATGACCAGCAGCTATGTTAGAGTGGATTGTGTGGCAAAGCAAACAGGCAGGAATATATTGCTTACAGTAATCTACTACAGCATCTAATGAGACATGAAATGCATCTCTTCTACCATTTCTAAAGTACAAGTAGTGAAAGCAAAATTAAATTTAATGGAGTCAGACCTCATTCTTGCACAACAAATTTAAACCCTTAGGAACAAAGAGACTTCTTGTTCTATAATGGGCTAGAGTAAGGTAATTTCTTTTTAATGTGTATATGGGCAAAGTAGTAATCAATCAGGACACAAGTGTTGCAACAGGGTCTGGGGTATTCCTCTGCAGCTGAAACCCATGGAGGAGCCATGCTGGGGCAGAGCCTAGGGTCAGTGGGAATAGTAACTGTTCTCATATGCTCCCTGGACTAACTGCCCTACATCTTGCACAGATTGGTCAATCACAGAAGTTAGAAACCGAACTCCCCTCCCCTGACAGGAATAATTTGCCCCAAAAGTTCTATATGGGATCATGTCTGGGTCACAAAAAGGTTGCTTTTATAGACTTATTTTATGCCCTTCTGCACAAAACAGAACAGATAGGACCTGAACCTCGTCATAAGAATTTAAGGGTGCCCAGGAGCTAATGGTTTTAAGAAGAGATTTAAAACCGGTCACCTTGCTTATTTACTTACTTAACTAGGTACTTATACATTGCTCATCATTACAGTAACTTACTTACAAATGCTAAAGCATGCATGTAAGGATCTTTCTCTCCATCTGCCAGTTAATAGGTAATATATCTGTTTTTATAGTAGTTAACATACTTATTGCTGGAAGACCATGTGTAAGCAGCATATTTTCCATTTGAATCTGGAGGCTTGTGGCTATTCCAATCTCTTCTGGCCCCGAGTTCCACAGTGACAGGTCAGCTGTCAAGAAAGTTCTTTCACCCACACCTCTCTCAAGTCCCACTCTTGAAGTAAACAGTTCAGTTTTTCCCAGAGGAACATAGCTATCATGGGAATTCAATATGTAAACTTGAGAAGAATTTGGTGGGCACTTTAAAGTATCTCAGAGTACCAAAAAGCATATTGCAGTCACCCTTAAATTTCTGACATACACCACATGCAAGAAATTAGTTACTACGATATTCAGGGCATTATGGTATAACTGTAACAAGTATAACCACTGATCCAGCAGCTTTTCCTAAATTATCAACTGTAGGCCAAATTCTGCCCTTTGACTTCTATTGGGTGAAAAAAATCACACTTATATTACTTTCTTCTAAAGTTACTCCAGGAGAAAAAACACCGATGATTGATTTTTAAATCACATTCTGGTTTTGTTCAGAAGCCATATCCTTGGCTGGTGTAACTCAATTGACTTCCATGGAACCACAATGTTTTACACCAGTTGAGAATGTGGTCTGAGGTCATCAAATCAGACATCTAAAAGAACACACAATTTTGTTTTTTAAGATCTTAGTTTACTTGAAAAAATTATCTTAATTATTTTCTTGCGCATAAATAGCACAGTATAAAGGAGTTACAATCTTAACTATTTAAGAGTACATTTACTCAATATCACATACCTTTTGATAGCCACAAGCTCGCCTGACTCATTGCTCTTTCCCATGAGTACACTGCCATAGGTGCCGTCGCCAAGTTGTTTCATGGTTGTGTAACGGTTCATTTTGTAAGACCTGGATTGCTGAAAGCCTTGAAAACTTTAAATGTCTCCTTTTATTGAGGATTTTTACACCCAATTTTTTTAAAACAAATTTTTGTTTTTCCAGAATGATGTTGTTATATCAATGGATTGTTTGCCATAATTTATTAAGACATTTGGTCTTCTTCCTCAGGATTATAACCACTTTGAGATCCAGAAATAAAGTAACAAGGAAGGGAATAATGCAGCCATTCTTACATACATCCTTCACAAAAAAAAAAGGGGGGAAAAGGTGAATTTTAACATTAATGTATTCTAGGAAAAATACAATACTCATATCTAACGTGAATAAAGAATCTCATATTAATGTTTCCTCTGTATAATGGAACATGTCAGAATGGCCAGGTATTTTTGCCATATGGAATAAAAGATGCAGATCTAAACTGAATATGTTCTACAAGCATCAGGCAACTTGCTACATCCATGTCATTTTTCCTGTAAAATGTGAGAATTCTCTCCATATCACTGAGAGCACCAGGAGCTAACAATCCAGCATTAACAGGACATCCCAGTGTAGGTGTATTCTGGTGTTTAGGAGACATGCCCAACCCTGCAGCTGACTAGTACATACTCCTGTCGGCATGATGTGCTTGCTTGAAACACAGCCTCCTTATAAAAGCAGCAACATGTCCACCATTCAGTGGTGCCTCTGTCATCAGTGAGGAATCGTGCACTGGCTGTCATGATGCCAGTAGCAGATGACCCACTCTGCTTATTCCCTGTGCATTGGCCCTCCACCAGTTTGGCCACAAAGAGTATAAAGTCATCATTTTGCCCCTCATTGAAATGCAGCCACCTCTATGGCGAAATGAAATAATTGTTTAACAGGGCACAGCAATACTACTCAGCAGATTTGGAAGTAAATTATTGTGGGAATTTTAAATAGGCAAAAAAAATTAAAGACGCGCAATCTCCAACCTGCTGCCTTATAATGCCATCTAAAGTATGCAATTTTAGGCCCCAATCCTGCAAACCCTTACACTTATTCTTATTAACTTCAATGGGCCTACTCATGGTAGACTCGTCTTGTTGCTTAGTTTTATTTATCCTTTAAAAATAGCTATTAAAAAACAACAACTCTCAAAGATTTATTTTAGAAAGCCCTTTGAAGGCATGGTTGTTTGCACTTTAAACGACAGCATGAAAAGCATCAGAAACTATATAAAATATATATGCGTATTAATACATAACAAATATAGAATGGGATTAATTTTAATAGGATTTGGTGTCCAAGTCACTTAGTCAGCTTTGAAAAATATCATACACAAGTCTATATACTGTTAAATGATCCTGATAAGCCAGTTTTGTGTGTGTGTATTTTTTTTATATATATAATGTTTTCAATTTTGTTCAGAACTGCCAGTGAACCAAAAAAAATCAGTTATTGACACAGCTCTAATAATAAACCCCCCCATGAATATTGGCAGGGCAATCCAGAGGCTGGTGTAATATCTGAAAATACTTTTAACTCCCTTTAATTGATTAGTTTTCAAGTTGGTGATTCCCCTTTACAAGTTCCTTCATTCACCTTTCTATCACACTAAGTGGACAAGACATTCTCATACAACTAAACTGATATTAACACAGTATGTTGACACCTCTGTACACCATACCCAAAGGAAGTGGGTTTATATATAACAATATATATATTGTGGGTTTATATATAACAATAAACTACTAACAATAAACCTGAACCATAATCCCAGGTCTGAACATGTAGAAACTTTATATGTGTATCTGAACTTCATGATGGGTCCCTAGCTCGACAATAGACTGAATGAAAACAAGAGGACCCTGAATTCTGGGGAAATTTGGAGCCTGATCTAGATGCAAACTTGGAAGCCTAGACCTATCGCTAAGTCCTGCTCTTTGTCCATACTTCTCTTCTGACCACTTCCTTTGTTTGACCCAAAATTAAGTGGTTTGATTTTTCTGGGGCTAGATTCAAAAGGGGATTAAGATGCCATTCACACAAAATCAAGAATGAGGTGGTGGTGATGATGGTACTCCTGCTCGCCCTTATATACTTTAGCCCCATGATTAGGGCATTCAGCTGGAATGTGGGAGACATAGGTTTGAATCCCCATTCTGCAACAGGAACTTGAACCCAGGTCTCCCACATCCCAGGTGAGTGGCTTAACTACCAAGCTATTTACTATTCTGGGATGGGTCTTTCTGTATCTCTCCTGTGGAAGCTGTTTCACTTGGTATAAATAATTACGTAGTCATTGCAGCAGAGACTGAAACTTTAGTTCACGCCGACCCCTCCCAGGTGAGCATAGGCGCCGACTTCTCCTCTGCCCGGTGGGTGCGCGACCCCCTCCCGCCCCCTTTCACCCCCTTTCCCCAAGTTCCTGCCCTGCCTTTTCTCCACCTCCTCCCCTGAGTGCGCCGTGTCCCCGCTCCTCCCCCTCTCTCCCGGAAAGTCCTAAGCACCACCAAACAGCTGTTAGGCGGTAGGGGACGGGAAGTGCTGGGAGGGAGGGGGAGGAGTGGGGACGTGGCGCGCTGGGAAGGGGGGAAGGAGGCGAGAAGGGGGCAGCTTGGCTGCCGGTGGTTGCGGAGCACCCACTAATTTTTCCCCGTGGGTGCTCTGGGGCTAGAGTTGGTGCCTACGCAGGTAAGTGTCCTAGGCACTGGGCTAGAGAGTCATTCCCACTCTCTCTCTGGCCCACTGACAGTTCAAGTATTTTATACCAAGCCTGAAAAAAAAAAAAAAAAACATTTTGTTTCAACATTTTCATTTCCCCCCACTTTTTTGTTTCAATCTAAACAATTTGCTAAAATCTATTGATTTCATGAAATGTCGCAGTTGTCCCGAGTCTGCATTTTTTGGCTAAAAAAGGTTTAAGTGAAAAATTTCACTCAGCTGTTTATGGTCCATCTCTTTCCAAATAAAGTTTCTTCTCCCTTGTAGCCAAGTCAAGGATGGGAAAATAAACCCCCAATTTCAATTTGGCTCTATGCAGGCACAAGGTTCTATTTCCTAACTAAGACCCAAACAGTTTCACTATTTTCTCTGCGTTGTCAGATAAGGCCCAAATCCAGCAAACTCATACACATGAGGATACTGGGACTCTTGCAGGAGGATTGTTACTTACATGCATATGTGTTTGTAGGAATGGGCCTTTTCTGACAAGGAAAGGAAAACAGTGAAACTGACGAAACACAAAATGCAGTCAAATGTCAAAAGTAAACAAACTACAAGACAAATATTTTTCTCTAATATCTGTCTGTTTTGGTAATCTTAGCTAGGTAAAAAACAATTCAAATAAAACGTTTTGGTTTTGTTTTAAAGTTGACTGTCCTGTTTACCATGAGGATACTCTTACTGGCACACCGTCATTCATTCATTCTGCCCACACTGCCAGATGCATGAAGCTGAAATCAAATGATGCCAATCATCCCATCCCTTTCATATTCAGATGTAATAATGCCACTTCAGCCATTACTGTGCTATGGAGTATAAACTGCATTTTTAATATGTGAACAAATTATTGTAATTTTGAAGTCTGCCTTATGCACGGTACACTTATCAAATACAGATTATCTAGGATTTGATCCTACAAGATGCTGAGCACTCTTACCCCTAAACTGACATCAGAATAAGGTTGGGTGAGGGTGCTCAGCACATCAAAGTATCAAGCCCCAACTGCATACAAAACTGTTGCTCTTATTGGATGTGCACAATTAATTTAGAACTGCAATAAAAATGGTATATTGATTTACATAATAACCACAACATTCCAGTACAGACATTTGTATACATCGATTCATATTTCACATAATATATACCCAATTGATGTGCCCTCTATTAAGCTTTCCTTTCTGCAAAGGGAAAACAGAGACACACGTAATCCCTATTTATTACTTAAATTGATCTCCAACATTTTAAATTATTGTTACTAAGTCAGATGTTACTAAACAAAAATAATGCTATACATGCTAAACTAGCAGAATTAATTCTTTCCCCTGTGCACATGTCTATCTTTGCAAGTTTAGAGCCCAATCCTGCCTTCCCTATGGAACCAAAACAAGAGATTGGGGAGTATAAGAAATGCAGGATCAGACCGTTGGTAGCAACAGAGATTTCTGTCCTGACCCCTTTGAAGTCAATGGGAGTTTTGCTGTTAGCAGAGCAGAATAAGGCCCATACATTCTTCTGCACAACCTAATGTCAAGAATCTTACACCACTCTGTGAAATAAATATGCCACCACATTCGGGAGCATCACCTGTGATGACTTAGTTGAAAGAAGAAAGCCTATTGTAAACAACAGATTGTTTCTTATTCATTGTGACACACTGCCAATAATCCCTTAATCTTATGTGAAGAAAGGATTAAAACAGAGGACAAATGGAGGACAAACTGCAATAGCTTGGAAGACCCTAGTAGTCTGTCTCCACTTGCAGAATCTGAGCAATTTTGAAAGTATATTTTCATATTTGTAGCATTACCATCTTATTATTTTATTTCAGCAATAGTAACAGTCAGTAATGCCATCATTGATTTTAAAATGTCTATTTGTAATTTTAAAATATACAATGGATAAACAGCAAATCACCAAAGTCCCTGAAGCACATTTATAATGCATTTCCAAGGAACAGATTCAACATTGCATGCAAGAAAAGACAAGCTACCCAAACCTTAAAATATAGTAAATGACAAACAAACTAGAAAATACAATCCACTCAGGAGCCTCCATGCAGATAAATAAAACACTTAGAGCCCAATTTTGCCAACCCTATTTACACTGATTATTGAAATCAATGGGACTATTCATGGAGCAAGGCATTACCCAAGATGCGTAAAGCTGGCAGGATTAGGCCCGAAATGATCCTGTTCTGTTCAAAATGCTTTATTAATAAAATAGTAGCAATACTTTTAAAAACAAATATAAAACAAATTTTAAAAAAGAGACTATGTCCCTTAAAGACATCTGAGTATTTAGTATACAGTACGATTAAAACAGATAGTAACCAAGTTCTAAGATGTGTGGATACATTTCTTGAGCCAGATTGTGAACCCCTTATTGAATCGCATAAGGGAAGAGCATAGAGCATTTAGGACTCAATTCTGACAGCCTTAATCATCTATTGGAGTACTCATGAGAGTAACTCCTTACCAACATAAGTAAAGGATTTACGCTCTGGTCCATAGTAAATATTTGTTTGTATACATATAAT